TTTACTGTCTTATACAATCCGTCAAATAGAATATATTTGTCGTTGATTATTGTTGATATGTTCTAAAATAATGTTCTAAAATAATAAGAATATGATTATATAGATATATATATAATCAAAACAATATATACATATATAATCATATTCAACAAGATCTGTTGTCATATATAATTATATTCGAAAACCAAATCTTGTTCATATAATTTTAAGTCAAATATGATTATATAAAGATAAGATCACATCGCGCCAAATTTGGATCTGATTATATATTATATAGGCTGTGGGATCCACTTGACGCTATAAATGCTTTGAAGCGTTATTCTTCTTGATTCATTGAAACAAAGGAGAAGAGGAATGTTTCGAATAATAGGGATAGGATTCGAGGAATGGATATACATATATTACCTGTAATAGAAGAGAAATTTTATAACTTATAAAACATTATTCGTAACGATACAATTTTTTCTTAAGATTTTCATTTACATCCTTATGCAATATTCATCAATAACAAAAACTGATCGATCACAAGCGCGTGCAATAAAATATGTCTCTACGAAAATGAATGTATACACAGATACATCGTAAAAAGTCCGAGAAGGATGTTTAATTGTTGGTTGCAGCCTGCATTAATATATTTGTTGACCCAGTCTCTGTAGTGGAACACCCTAGTGAACACATCCGGAAAGCCCGCGGCGCATGGTCCTTCTCTACCAAAGGACGCAATGCCAACTAGTTCGCCATTGTAAATAAGCGCACCACCGGAATCACCCTGCGAAGATAGCGTATTTAAAATTTGTACCAATGTTTGTCAGAATTTTCCATCTACATATCGATTTTCTAGATATTGTGTGACGTAAATAATTACTACTTTAAAGTTGTTTGAAGCAATTAATTGATTTCTATTAGAAGTAGTTCTGATTAGCTTTAACAGAGATTACCTGAATGATAGAAATGCTATTTCTTATTAATCTGGTATCAAGGTAGATAAAGCAAGAACAATTACTCTTTTTTTTTTTATTTCTTTTTTATATTTTCTACCGAGATAAGGATTATCGTGAGATAAACGTGTGCACGATTTAATTTACGATTATATACTTACACTGCATATTCCTTTACCCAACGCTAGAAGAGTGCATACTTGACGTTCGCTGATATCGTCGTACGTATGGGCGCACGTCTCTTGAGAATATCCCGTCACTACGATTTGTTGCAGATGTTCTGGAGTAGGGCCGTCCGGCTGAAACAAAAGTGTATTTAACAATTAGAATTTATTTTAACCAACTACAATTGGCAGATAATCATCGTGACGATTCGACCACTGGTTTTGGTATAATTAAGTGTATTTAACTTAATGCCTGATGCTTAGTTTTAAAATAGAAATGATAAAGAATGTGTCTTTTGAAACTCTCGGCAGCTTTAAATAGATACTTGTCAAAACTTGTTCTCGTATAATTTTGGATGATTTTGAATGAGATAGATGTATTTCTTATACTTACCGAAGTATTTCCCCAACCAGTAACTATTAAACCTCCAACTCCATCAAAATTCTTGTCGGAAGATACTAAAGCTATCGGTTTGGTGTTGCTATTAAATTTGATGTCTTTCTTTAGCTTAATTAAACCAATATCGTTAATGGCTAGCGTTCTGTTATAATTAGGGTGGATTATTAGCTCCTCTGCTTCATATGTAGTTTGAGAATAAAGAAGATTGCTTCCAACGTCAACGTCAACATTGTGTGGATAGTACGGACTGTAACAATCAATAAAGATTCCGATTACTTCGCTTGTATTTAATTTAAAAGCTACTGTAAAGGATTAATTCTTTTATTTTGATATTTATTTAACAATATATATGTTTGAATGTTTAAGAGAAGAGGTAATCTTAATTACATATAAACAGTATAAGTGATATCTAGATATCGAAAATCGTTAAGTGTTTTTCCAAATTTTTCATTTTTTTATAATTCCGTCTCATTATATTTATTTGCATTTAAACAGTATATAATAATAGCTTTCGGATAAGAATTAAACAGGTAAATGTTTTGGACCGAAATAAAATAGGACATACATACCCAATCAATTCCAAACAGTGCGCCGCGGTAATAATATATCTTTTGCTAACGATAGCTCCACCGCAGCGATGTGTTTTAGTGTAAGAATCCTTCAATGATACTTGATAAGGATACAGGCCGTCCGGAGCATCGATGCCGCCGACGATTTGCGGGCGTGACAAACCTACAAATTAAAAATATTTTTATTTTCTCGCACTATAGCATTGATGCTAAAAATATCAATAGCAAATTAGCTATATATATGTTATAAACTCTTATTTTTTTATATATTAAGTTTCTCCTTTATTTTAATTGTTATATTTCACATATAATAATACAGATTACGTTTTAGAATATGAAATGAGTTATAAGCGAGTATATATTTTAATATAATATATTTAATATAATATTTTATCAAAATCTTTAAAATAATTAAATGACGGGTTAAGCTCACCGCATCGTTTTTAAAGTATGCGGTAAATGCTGAACAGATACGGCTATGTGATGTTTTAAAATATACGAAAAGCACTAAACAGATAATTTGTAAAATAATTATTGCGATATTTTCGATTATCTTATACGAAACTGAAACGAAATGCAACTTACTCGGATGATATCAGATAAGTGTGCGACGGAAGTTCCGTAACAATTAATCCGATCAAGCAATATCGTTGTAATACACGTTTGAATTATTCGTAATGTGTTACAGCTCAATTTACATCTCCTCATTAATATGATTTTCACAAATATACTTACCATGGGCACCGTAATATATTAGACACGCGAATATGAGACTAGTAATAGAAAACATAGTGTTATAGTTGATAGACTAGTAAAGAGAGATAGAATGATACTGAGGCGCATGAAACGCGTTAGCTTCATTTATATAACCGTCAGTGAAAATTATCAATTTTCCGCGTATCTATTCGTGCGTTATCTTCGCGTGTAATCATAAAAAAATTATCCTTCTGAAAAAAGATAAAGGAAGTAACTATATGCTACCTATAAAGGAAGTACAAAATTGTTTTAATATATCCAGTCGAAAGTATAAAATAATTGTGCACTGCAATATAAATGGTTTTAATTTTCGTAAAAAATAAATATATTTAGATAACAAATAAGTGTTGTTTAGCATGTCTTAATTTTAAAAATGTTAAAAATGTTTTCCAAAAAGAATTTTGAAATCAGAAAATTGCGCCAAATAGAAAGCGGAAATATATGTTAAACATTTTAAAAAATTAAATTAAAAATTAGACTCTTAAAGAAGGCATGTAAGAGATTGAATCATTGCCGCTTTTCCGCGTAGTATCGCGCCAAGTTGCCGATATTTTAGAACATTTCGTCGCCGTTATAAAAAGTAACGCAGTGATGAACGCGGAATGAATCGGTATGATATATTACATAGTAATATAAAGTACTTTCTTCCCATGGGTACAACCTTGGCGAGGTAGGAAGGCCACACGCCTTCTAATACACACAGGGATAAGGGGATATAATTCGATAGTTGAAAAAATTGTAGACTAAATGATAGTAATAACTTTAATATAATAATAAAAAAAAAAATAATAATAATAACATAATAATAATAACATAATTATATTAATTATTATAATATTTTTAATAATAGCAACTCAAAAAGTATATTAAATAATACTAATACTTTTATATTAAATACTTTTTATTTAATATCTTCAATGAGAAAGTGTGCCGAATTGCATGTTGAAATGAATGGAAGGCACATCGATGGAACATCTGCTGTAGAAAATTCTTTGTAACTCGGAAATAAATGGTTTTTGATAAAAAATAGCTAAAAAATTATTTAATTTTATCTATAGTTACTATAAAATAAAATACAATAATTCAGCATTTTAATAAAAAAACAAAAAATATTTACTGAAATATATTTTACTTAATTAAAGAATAGAT